CCCCAAAACCCCAAAACCCCAAAACCCCAAAACCCCTAGCCAAGATTTAGAGATAGAAAATTAATATCATTTTAATTAAAATGAAGTTTTGTGCTATTTTCTTTCTGATGTGATTGTGCCTTTGTGCATCAATTGAGGCAGGACCAGTAAAGTATCCTCCTATGAGGCGAGCACTACCTGCTCCGCCTAAGCCAATAGATACTACCTTTAAGACTTCTCTTCCTACAGATGCAGAGACAATTATTGAAATAATTATTGGAGTTATCCTTTCTGAAATGAGGCATCTCCACATTGATCGCTACGAAGTCGAGGATGGAGTGCTTACTAACGTTGATATCAACTTTGATTTTCCTACATTCTCAGGAGTTACATTCAGAGGAGATCTAGATTCTGGAGAAATAACATTTAAACTTCTTGGAGTCAAAGCTGATATTAAGGCTGACCTAAACTTCTATCATGGTGTTATCAAAGGAAACACCAAGATCCAGATTGATAAGATGGATATTGAGCTTAAATCAACTCCTGTATTTGATAAGGATTGGATCTACTTCAATTTTAAATATCACCTTCATATCAAGGATACTGATATCTCGATGAATATTGATGCTATCAAAGGAGATGGATACTACGGAGGTGGCATGAATCCACTTCTTGGAAATGTCAACCTAAACATGGTTGCAATCAAAATGGTTGACAATGAGTTAGAAAAACAGACAGAGAAGGTTCTTCAGAGCTATTTTAACAGTAATCTACCTCAAAAAGATTCATCTAAGGATGCTGGTATTAGTAGTCTTGAAGATTTAGTTTCTAATACAAATTCAGCTATATATAAATTTGGAAGAGATGAACTTCCTATCCTTACTTTTGAGTCCATCTCTGAAATGCCTATTAAATCCAGACAAAGAATCAGAGAAAAGCTTGTCCATTCTGATTTGAAGCCTGTGGTAACTCCTGAACATACTGTCATTGAGGCAATCAAATCACGTTTGACAAGTGTAAAGCATCATGTGCCTATTTCACATCACTCTGAGCGTAAATTTGTGAATTAGGATTTCAATACAATAATTAAATGCTGGGGTTTTGGGGTTTTGGGGTTTTGGGGTTTTGGGGTTTTGGGGTTTTGGG